AATGAGGGTTAACTTTACAGGGTCACTTGCTGATCTCCAAGGGCTCCTGAGGGCAGGTCACCAGCTTTTGAGGCATTAAGGTTTTCCTGTGGACTCTCAGATGGATTCTTTACCTTTCTATTTTGACTCCGTGTCTCTAGGAGAGTACATCTCAAAGCGACTGTGGAGTCAGGATCTCTGGGAGTGGGCCTTAGAATCTGTTGTTGAGAACTGGACGAAATGGAGCAAGCAGTTACGGACAGATTTATGGATGGGCTCCAAGTGAGTTACATAGTTTGTAGCTCAGGCAATTGTGGAAGCTCCACTAGGTCATAAGGAACCCCAGCTCTGCCAGTTCCCTGCTCTGCCATTCTTAGGGCCTGACTATTGCCTTTATTGTTCAAAATGGCTGCTGTGGATCCAGCTATCACATCCACATTCCAGGCCATAGCAAAGAGAGAGGGGAGGAAGATGGCCCCTTCCTCCCATTCAAGAAAGTCTGCTGTCTCTAACCACTTTGTGTGAGGGAAAGTTACTTAATACCTCAGAGCCGCAGAGGCCTGGCACCGTGCCCCGCCTGAGCCATGCTCCTGGTCACTGCTGCCACAGCACACCCTGACACCCTCCCCTCTCCCTTCTCCCCTGCCCCTCGTCTCCCCTGTCCTTTGCCCTGTATTCCTACCCTGCCTTCCCCCCACATCTCCTCTCTTCTCTGCTCCTAATTTTCCTGGTCCCTTCTTGCCTTCATCCCTCATCATCATCTTTATTTATCCTCATGTTGTCCACCTTTTACTGCCTCTTCCTTGTATTGCTTCTGTCTCTCTTCCTGGTGTCCCTAATTAATGGCAAAGTATGATTATATTACAAGGTTTAGAGTTGGTGACTGACCTTTGAACTATAAGTCAGTGTTTTTCAACCTTTTTTGGGCAAAGGCACACTTGTTTCATGAAAAAAATCACGAGGCACACCACCACTAGAAAATGTTAAAAAATTTAACTCTGTGCCTATATTGACTATATATAAAGTAATTCTCTTGAATAGGAATCAAATAAACACAAAGAAAGTATTTTATAATTACTTTATTATGAAATATTAAGTAAACAAAATAGTGAAAAATTATAAAATTCTTGTCTTGTCTGCACCTACGGCACACCAGGCAACATCTCGCGGCACACTACAGCGGTTGAAAAACGCTACTATAAGTCATTGGTGCATAATTTAAGAAAACCAAGTTTAATGGGCTTATTCATGAATCTATTGGAAGTTACATTTGGCAGTTTGTAAGCAGAGACCAGAAACAGAGGTTTATTCTCTGTAGGTGTTTAAGAGACATCTGGGAAGACAGTTTAAAGCTGGCCCCTCTGCTCTGCCACCTTGGGTGGTGTCCTGGTCTGAGCTGGCTCCTGGGCTCTAGCTGTCCTGTCAGGGTTCCAGGAATACAGGGAGAGACAAAAAAGACAGATGTTAGCTGTTTGTCTCCTTCAGGACACTACTGGGTGAACTTTTCCTGAAAGTTCACCCAGTAGTTTCCTCCTCTCATATTGGCCCCCCCTTGCTGCAGAATGGCTGAGAAGTCTGGAAATAAAATTGGGATTTTCTGCCGAAACCGATTTGGCTCATTGGATAGAGTGTTGGCCTGCGGACTGAAAGGTCCCAGGTTCGATTCCGGTCAAGGGCATGTACCTGGGTTGTGGGCACATCCCCAGTAGGAGGTGTGCAAGAGGCAACTGATCAATGATTCTCTCTTCATTGATGTTTCTAACTCTCTATCCCTCTCCTTTCCTCTCTGTAAAAAATCAATAAAAAATATATTTTTTAAAAATTGGGATTTTCTGACTAAGGGAGAAGGGGGAGTCGATATGGGGTAAAGAGTTTGCAAGGTCTGCCACCATTCATTCAGCATCAGTTTAGCGAGTTATTAGGACTAGTCAAGGAGTGCCCATTCCAGAGGGGAGTGCAAAGTGAGGGTGGTCAAGGAAGTGTGGAGGAAGGCATGAGGAAGTGCCTTGCACACCTGCCAGGAGGTCGTCAGAGCAGCCTCCAAACTATCCATTTAGTTCCTCTATGCCCTCCCCTGCTCTCTCTCTCTTATCGGCATTGTCATTATTGGGTTGTTTTTGCCCCTTCCTTCTCACCCCAGGAATAGCCCTTAGAGAACCTGAGGAAGTGGGAACAGCTGGCAGCTTAGTGGGAGCCTCTGGGATGGGAGCCACCCGTTTGACGAGCCAGGTGCCAGGCCCATAGGCAATGAGAGGCTAGTGGCAGGAGTGCGTCCTGTTCCTAGACATGCCATTGCACTGCCAGGAGACACTGCTCAGGAGGGGGGTCGTCATCATGAGGGGTGCTCCTCACCAGGCACCTGGCATCTGCTACAATGTGCTGTCCCTGGCAGCTCATCGTGAAATGAAACCATTATAGCAGTCAAATCCTTCTCCGGGTTTCATAAATAGGGCTGAGCGTTTTATCTGCATTGATTAATCAGGGTCTCAGGATGCTAGAGTACTCAGATGTAAGAAAAAAAATACAGCTGCTTTCTATACAATTTCCATGCCATTAAACATTGGTATTCCTTCCTGGAACTCAAGGAGAATTTTAGGAACAATTTATGTGACCTGCAGTATCTTTGATTTCCATCTTAGGGATACCTATTTCCCTCTCTCCTTCTGCACCCCTCACCCAGTTCCTTTTGAGAAGTCTGTGAGGCAGTGGAGAGTTCGCTGCAACAATTAAAAAAGATATATCCCAGCCCTTAAGGGTTTAATCTTTTAGGGAAGACAGAAGGGTTAAAAGATTGTTAGTTGTAACCCAGTACGTTCCTTATGAAGTTGGACTGTGACCCTGGGCAAGTTACTTAACCCTCCTGTGCTGCTAAGTTTTCTCATCTGTCAAAAGGTAATCCTAGTTGTTACCAGGTGTGTGGGCACTTGGTATGTTGAATTGTTATTACTACTGCTTTTTTTTTTTCTTTTTCTAATAAATCTTCATTGTTCCTCTTTTTCCCCCCATAGCTCCTCCCCCACCCTCCGCCCTTACTCCCCCCGCCCACTGTCCTCATCCATAGGTATATGATTTTTGTCCAGTCTCTTCCTGCACCCCTCACACCCCTTTTCCCCTGAGAATTATTAGTCCACTCCCTTTCTGTGCCCCTGATTCTATTCACCAGTTTATTCTGTTCATCAGATTTTTTATTCACTTGATTTTTAGATTCACTTATTGATAGATATGTATTTGTTGTTCATAATTTTTATCTTTACCTTTTTCTTCTTCTTCCTCTTCTTAAAGAATACCTTTCAGCATTTCATATAATATTGGTTTGGTGGTGATGAACTCCTTTAGCTTTTTCTTATCTGTGAAGCTCTTTAGCTGACCTTCAATTCTGAATGATAACTTTGCTGGGTATAGTAATCTTAGTTGTAGTTTCTTGCTATTCATCATTTTGAATATTTCTTGGCCTTTCTGGCCTGCATAGTTTCTGTTGAGAAATCAGCTGACAATTGTATGGGTACTCCCTTGTAGGTAACTAACTGTTTTTCTCTTGCTGCTTTAAATATTCTCTGTCTTTCGCTCTTGGTATTTTAATTATGATGTGTCTTGGTGTGGTCCTCTTTGGATTCCTTTTGTTTGGGGTTCTGTGCGCTTCCTGGACTTGTAAGTCTATTTCTTTCACCAGGTGGGGGAAGTTTTCAGTCATTATTTCTTCAAATAGGTTTTCAGTGTTTTGCTCTTCTGGCACCCCCATAATTCAGATGTTGATATGCTTGAAGTTATCCCAGAGGCTCCTTACACTATCTTCATATTTTTGGATTCTTTCTTCTTTTTGCTTTTCCAGTTGGGTCTTTTTTGCTTCTTTGTTTTTCAAATCTTTGACTTGATTCTTGTGTTCCTCTTGTCTGCTGTTGGGTCTTTGTATATTATTTTTTTTCATTTCAGTCAGTGTATGCTTAATTTCTAGTTGGTCCTTTTTCATATTCTCAGGGGCCTCGCTAAATTCTTGAAAAACCTTATAACTATGGTTTTTAACTCTATATCCAGTTGTTTGCTTGCCTCCATTTCTTTCATTTGTGATCTATTTCTTTTTCTCTGCATTTTTGCTGCTTCCCTGAGTTGATAGAGTGGCTTTGTGTGCTAGGTGTCCTATAGGGCCCAGTGGCTCAGCCTCCCCAGTTACCTGAAGTGGACACTCTTGGTGCCCCCCTTTGTGGACTGTGTGCACAGTCTTGTAGTTAAACCTTGATTGTTGTTGGTATCACTGGGAGGAATTGACCTCCAGGCTAATTGGCTGTGAGGATCAGCTGTGTCTATGATTGAAGAACTTCTGTACTGGAGACACTCTTGCTTCAGTGGGGCTTTGGTGCTCATTGAGTCTGCCTCTGAGTGTGTCCCTTATGGAACTGAGGAGTTGTAATCTGGATGGTCCCTCTCTGACCCCTGGGTATACTGGCTCTTGGATCTCCAAGGAGGTGCTAATTTAGCCTCGACCTGGGTCCACCCAGCAGGAGCTACAGAGAGATCTGCAGATTCCTCTTCTTTGTTTGGGGTTGGAGGTGCCCAGATGAGTTCCAGCTGTGAAGCAGTGCAAGCTGCTGTGGGGCCTTGAGCCTTCTTTTGGATGTTCTGGATTTCACTGATTCAGCTGCAGTTTGTTATGTAAGTTTAGAATTCAAAGGAACAGACCCTTCATCTGCAAAAGCCTCTGAGTTCAGCTTGGATGGGGCAGAGTCTCAGGGCAGAGCAAACAGGAATGGCTGCCTATAAGCCCTGCCCTAAGAGGCCCTTGGGTCTCAGTGTCACTCAGTAATTGCTGCAAGCATCTCTGAGAGAAAGCCACCATCGAGTTTCGCTCGCTGCCAGACAGTCCAGTTTCTCCCCATATGAGTCTGTGTCCCCAGAGTCTCACCCAGAACTGGAGTTCAGAGCAGTCGGGAGCTTTTGTCTCCCTCCCGATTGAGAAAGCTAGCCAGGTACTCAGTTGCCAGCCCTCCCCACGCTTCTGTACCTCTGCCTTCCACAGTTTCTGTAAGTCTCAATGTGCTTTTCTCTTCCCTTCTAGTTGTAGAATATCCACTCAGCCGGCCTTCCTGTGGTTCTGGATGATGTCCATTTTGTCTTTTAGCTGTAGTTTTAAAATTGTGTGAGGCAGCAGTTTAGGTGTTTACCTATGCCTCCATCTTGGTTTCTCCTCCATTACTACTGCTCTTACCCACTGTGGTTGGACTGATAGGTTGGTGGTGCCAGAAACAAATCAGTTTCACTAAAAGAGAGATGTTGACAGGAAGCCAGGAAGGCTGGTCAACAACCTTAATTGCTCTAACCACTCACCCTTTAGTTGAGACATTGTTAGCTGAAGCAGCCTCCACCTTGTTTGTCCCATGTAAGTTTCTGTTATTTCCTGCCTAAGGGCTACATGTAAATTTCTGTTTATCTTGCCTAAGATGTTTTCCCCAAAGCCTCAATAAAAGGGATGGTAGGGCCAGAGCAGTGAGTAGTTCTCCCACTAGAGCTGAACTACCGCCTGGCCCCCCATGTCGCCAAATTGAATTTCTTCAAGTCTCTTCATTTGTGTGTGGCCCTTCTCCAGAACCCGAACCCTGAAATGGAACCCTTTCCATGCCGGATGTGAAAGAGAGTCCTACAGGGTGGAAGGCCTTGGATGACACATTAAGGAGTTGGGTTTTATTTTTTGGGCATTGGAGCTGTGGGAGATTTGTGGGCAGGGGTCCGACAGATCATGGCTGGACTTAGCAACCCACAGGTTGAGAACCTCTAGCAGGGTCATATAAGACCATCAGAAAACACAGATATTTACATTACGATTCGTGACAGTAGCAAAATTACAGTTATGAAGTAGCAATAGAAATAATTTTATGGTTGGGGGTCACCACAACGTGAACTGTATTAAAGGGTCATGGCATTAGAAAGGTTGAGAACCACTGGTCTAGAGGCAGGTTCAGGAGAGGGGTGGGCAGGGCCTGAGTCAGGACCTCCTCAAGGTCAGGGAAAGGGAACAGTGGGTGGTTGAAAAGAAACTCATGAGGGACAACCAGATGACATTGGCATTTCAGCATATGACTAGGGGTTGGTGTCCCATTGATTGGTACAGGAAGTGTTGGGGGAGGAGGAGGGGTAAGTGGCAGGAAAGGGAAAAAAAGAGGTGCATGTGGTTCTTTCTGGCCCAGGGAGCCCTGCCATGTGCTGAGTGGAGCTGTTGGAGCTGGGAAGGCCAGCAGCGCCTAGAGGCCCATGTCCTTCTGCCTTCTCCCTTGGGTTGCATCTCCCAACTTTGGTTTTGCATATTTGTAGGGAGGCGGGAAAGCCAGGCTTCTCCCAGGCCCCGCTCAGTTTGACCTGCCAGTGGTCCTGACCCCTAGCTCCCGCTTTGGCCCTAGGCTGTCAGCTCTCAGCTTTACACCTCCAGACAAAGGTGAGTTGCATCAGCTGTTGTTCTGTACAAGGCCCCAGGGGATGCTCTGAGTGAGTACACTGGCGGTTTTTATCTCTTCCCCTTCTGCCTCTAGTCTGTTACAGAATCTGATGACTTCTGGGGCCTGAGCCCAGGTATGAACAGGCTGCCCTCAGGTTACCATCAGGATGAACTGTAGGCAGTGGGGGAGGCCTGCCCTGGCCCAGCTGAAAGAAAGGCCGTACCACCTATCCACACTCATCCCGCTTCTCCCGATTGGGATCATTTCTCCCTCCGAAACGTCCACTGTGCGGCCTTCCCCATTCAGCTCTTGTAGGCCCACCTCCTCAAGGGCAGTCTCTCACTTTCTCTTTCTGGCATCTCCTCCCTGAAGCAGTCTAGTCAGTGCTTTTGCAATTTCCCCAAATCAGTCCCTTAACAATGTGTTAATTGAAGGGGGCTCTGGCTGGAGATGGGTGGAAGATGGCCATCAGGGAAAGCATCAAAACTGGTGCTGCCAGATTCCTGGCACTTTCAGAATTTTTGGGAAAAGGCATAGAATTTCCCGGGAATTCCCAAAGTCATCTCTTTTGTAACACTGTGTTTATGGGTTTTTAAATAAGAATGAGAGACTATGATAAACTGTAAATTTTTTTCTGTGATAAAAGTTTCAGAAGTTTTCCTGTAAAAGAAATATCCTATCTAATAGAAGAGTAAATTAACCATCACTCCACTACACCCACAAGCTACTCTCACCAGCCAATCAAGAGAGGGTATGCAAATTAATCCAACCAAGTAGGAAGTTTGGGTTTCCCTGGCAATGGAGGAAGCCAAGCTTTCCACACACCCTGGCGGGCTCAGGCCTCCACTCAAGGCTACAAAGTTTCAATTATAGAAGATAAATAATTCCCAGATCCCAGGGCCTCTGCTTGGGTTGGTGGAGGAACATGGCCAGCCTGCAAACCACTGTAGGCCCTTCAGCCAGGCCACCCCACCCCCCAAAGGAACCCCCACCCTGATCCGGGACACCCTTCAGGGCAAACCAGCTGGCCCTCACCCATGCACCAGGCCTCTACCATATCTAATAAAAGAGTAATATGCAGATTGACCATCACTCCAACACACTAAGATGGCTGCCCCTATGTGGTCAAAGATCCTTCCCCTATGTGGGCACAAGATGGCCGCCACAAGATGGCCAATAGGGGAGGGCAATTGGGAGGGATCAGGCCTGTAAGGGAGGGCAGTTGGTGGTGATCAAGCCTGCAAGGGAGGGCAGTTGGGGAGGACCAGGCCTACAGAGGAGGGAAGTTAGGGGTGACTGGTTCTGCAGGGAAGGGCAGTTAGGGGCAATTTGGCCAGCAGGGAAGCAGGCATCAATCAGACTGGCAGGAAAGTGGTTAGGGGGTGATCAGGCTGGCAGGCAAAAGTGGTAGGGGCAATCAGAAAGGCAGGCAGGTGAGCAGTTGGGAGCCACAGTCCTGGATTGTGAGAGGATGTCCAGCTGCCCATTTAGGTCCGGTCCTACTGGGCATTCAGACATCCCTTGAGGGGTCCCATATTGGAGAGGGTGCAGGCTGGGCTGAGAGATACCCCTCCCCCGCCACCTCATGCACAGATTTCATGCACCAGACCTTTAATATATATATTATAGTAAATGCATGGTTAATTATTATTTGGGAATAGTATATTGTGAAAAGATTATTTGTTTTATTGACATGTAAATACTACCTTCACCTAATATAGATAGTTGATATAGAAAATATTAAAGAAAGAGAACATAACAAAATTAATGCTTGCCTGGCTGGCGTGGCTCAGTGCTTGAGTGTCCACCTATGAACCAAAAGGTCAGGGCACATGCACAGGTCGTGGGCTTGATCCCCAGTGTGGGTTGTGCAGGAGGCAGACAATGATTCTTTCTCTTCATTGATGTTTCTGTCTCTCTCTCCCTCTCCCTTTCTCTCTGAAATAAATAAAAAATATTTATTTTATAAAAATGAATGCCTAAAAAATAATTTAATGTTTTAAGGATAATACCACAGATATTTAATATGTAAAAGTTATTCTTAATGTGACATTTAAAATTTTTATTTTTAAATTTCCAGACACTAAAATTCATCCTTTTTTGGTGTGCAGTTCTGAGTTTTGGCAAATCCATAGTCATTAATCATCGCCGGATAAATAATCCATATAAAGAACTGTGCTATCACCTTGTAAAATGACATTCCCTTGTGCTACTCTTTTGTAGTCAAACCTCACCTTATCATTAACCCATTATTTATTCTGTTCCTGTAGTTTTGCTTTTTCCAGAATGTCATAGAAATGGAGTCATAGACTTTTGAGTCTCACTTAGCACAATGTATAGGCCATCCGTTGTTGCTGCATGTATCAGGATTTGTCCCTTTCTGTTATTGACAGAATGTAAGGATTGGCCACAACTTGTTTATCCATTCTTCATTTGAGGCACATTTAGGTTGTTTCTGGGTTTTGGCAATTTTGAATAACTTTCATCTGCTGGTTGGAGCATAGGTTTTCATTTCACTTAGGTAAATCCCTAAGAGTGGGATTGACGGGTGTATGATAAGAATAAGGTTACCTGCCAAGCTGTTTCCCACCAGCAATGTACGAGAGGTCCAGCTTCTCCACGACCCTGTTCGCGTGTGGTGTTGTCAGCTTTTGTTTTGTTTTGTTTTGGCCATTCTATAGGTGTTTTTCCCTAATGACTAAGAATGTTGCACGTCATTTTTGTGTGTTTGTCATCTGTATATTTTCTCTGGTGAAGTATCTGTTCAGGTCTTTTGCCTTTTTCTTAATTGGGATGTTTGTTTTCTTACTGCTAAGTATGGGGAGTTCTTTATGTATCTTAGACAAATGGTCGGCAAGCTGTGGCTCGTGAGCCACATGCAGCTCTTTGCCCCTTGAGTGTGGCTCTTTCACAAAATACCACAGCCTGGGTGAGTCTATTTTGAAGAAGTGGCATTAAAAGAAGTTTAAGTTTAAAAAATTTGGCTCTCAAAAGAAATTTCAGTCATTGGACTGTTGATATTTGCCCTGTTGACTAATGAGTTTGCTGACCACCGTCTTAGACACAAGTCTTTTGTCAGAGATGCAATTTGCAAGTACATTCTTAGTGGGTGGCTTGTCCTTTCATTCTTTTAATGTGCCTTTCAAGGAGCAGAAGTCAATTTTGATGAAATCCAATTTGTTACAAATATTTAATATGTTTTTATTGATTTTAGAGAGAGGGGAAGGGAGAGGGATAGAGAGATAGAAACACCAATGAGAAAGAGATATATATCAATTGGCTGCCTCCTGCATGACCCCAACCCCCACGTCCCCCAGTGGGGGAATGAACCTGCAACTTAGGCATGCGCCCTAACCAGGAACTGAACCAGGAACCTTTTGGTGCATGGGACGATGCCCAACCAACTGAGCCACACTGGCCAGGGCACCAGGGCACTGATTTTACTAATTCAGATTAAGATCAGCTTCTGATTTTGTGTCCTAGAATTCCACAATACTCACTTTCCCCCCCACCCTCTTTTCTGTAGCAAATAGTCAAATGCTAGAAGATTCCAGTGAACATTATTGGGTAGTGTTTGAATAATCTAACAAGTTAATAATCTAAGAAAGTTAACAGCACTGTAATAGAGTCACGTGTCAGAATTGCCAGTTTAAGGACTTGTTTCCAAACTTACTTCTTAGAATTCTACTTGTAGGATTTCTATACACTATGTATATTACTATATTAACACATATTTGCAGAATGACTCACCATTAGCAGCAGACAGGGTCATGAGCACACACTTACGGCATGGCAGTGGCCACAAGCAAGGCTTGATCAGACTGAGGCACTCCGTCCTGATTCCCAGAAACCTCAGCTTCGGCCTTCAACTCTGCATGTTAACTTCTAATTCTTTCACGTGAAGTTAGCGGATTCCTTGAAACCAATAACATCTCTAAGGTTTGATTGTTAAGCTTTAATTCTCAGAAGATTATACCTTTTCCCATTTTCCCAGTTTGTCCGTGTTTGGGATCTTTCTCTGAATTTGGGATTCAGTGAAACATAAATTTCCTAAGAAAAGTTGGGAAAGAAGTCTTGCATGGCAATACTTGCTAAGAAGGTCATAAGGCAGGATTTGAGGAAAGCGAGTGTTGAAAGGTAACCTGTAAGGTGAGCTCCGCAGGGCAGCCGCTGTGTCACATCCATCACAGTGTCTGGGAAACCAGCTTGGCACCTGACCCATGGAGGGTGCTCCGTGGGAGTTACTGGCTGAGTAAATGGCTCGCTGGCAGTGGCTGCTGGGAAGCTTGTGTAAATCACTGTGGCTGACAAGATGTTTGGGTTGTGGAATGCTGCGGAAGGTGAGCTTAGAAAACGCTAAGATCCCTCTTGTGCCAGGCCTTGCGCCATAGGCATGGGAGCTTAGGTTGTTACATTCTGGGCACTGGGGAGAAAACCCAAACATGACACAGCCGAGTCCTTGTTGGCTCATAGCCAGGTGGTGAAGTAAGAGCCAAACAGCCTTTTTTCTTTCTGTTGTTTAACCCAAAGGCCATA